TTCTTTCTTTCTTTCTTTCTTTCTTTCTTTCTTTCTTTCTTTCTTTCTTTCTTTCTTTCTTTCTTTCTTTCTTTCTATTTATTTATTTATTTATTTATTTCTCTTAAAAGGAAGAAGAAAAAGAAAGAGGGTGGGATGGGAGAAAGAAAGAAAGGGAGGGAATGGAGAAAGAGGGAAGAGAAAGGAATGTGAATGAGATATGGATGGATGGATGAATGGACGGATGGATAGAGGGAGGGAGGGAGGGAGGGAGGGAGGTGGCGAAAGAAAAAGGAGAGGACGGAAGGACTACAAACCCTGGCACCAGACCCAGCTTCAGAGGATGCTTTGAAACAGCACAGCAAACAAGGGCTGGAGCTGGCTTCTGGGGATTATGCTCTGCTGGGAAAGGTTGCGAAGGAGCCTCGCAGCCAGATCTGGGCTTCAGAAAGGCAGGGATGGCACTCTGGGGAAGGCGCTCCGATCTCTCACCTCTGTCTCTCACCTCTGTCTTTGTTCGGGGAATCGATGGCCAGGGGAGTCTTCATTCACTCAGTCTTCATTCACTCAGACTGTGTTTGGAGAATTGATGCCCAGGGGAATCTCTGGTCTCCACTAATGGGTCCCCCAGCCTTCCTCTGTGTCCTCAGTTATTATAGACTCCGGTAGATCTGTGTGGCCAGTCTCTCTCTCTCTCTCTCTTGGGTTCTGCTGACTCCAGACTCTATTTGTCACTATAATTATTCTTAGTACTTAAATCTATATCTACTCTCCCCATTTGGCTGTTACCATTCCTATCTCTAACCCCAGGTTTTTGGTATTTTGCCTACTCCTAGTCTCCAGTGATGTGGCTAGGCGTTTGCCTTGGCCACCATCTTCAATGTCCTCATGTACTTCATTATACTCCTTGTTACTGTATAAAATATTCCTTGTTTTTAGTGAGTTCCTGTTGTAACAATTTATAAGGCAAAGATATACAGTTGGCAATATTAGAAATAATGTGTTATGCCACAATTTTATTAGCTATGTTTTGTTGAATAATTCTTTATAGATAATGTATATACACCACTTAAAGCCAGGCATGTGCAAGCTGAATCCTTTACCTGTATGTTTTACTATTAAGTTTAGTGGCTTATATACAAAGAAAAACTTATTTTTAAAAGGTAAGACAAGGAAATTTATTAAATGCATACCAAATATTTCTAGTACTAATTTACTATAATTTAAATCAGGTTTTGCTTTGATTCCCTATTTTTTGAAATATGATTTCCTATATGCTGAATAATTATTGCCTAAAACAATAATTAAAGTTGAAATTCAGGGAGTGTTACTGCTGTTATTTAATTATGCTGTCTTTCTACTCTGTTAGGCATTTAAATTAAATTAATTTTAATTTAATTTAATTTTAAATTTAAATTAAAGTTCTGCATTTAACACAATTCTTTCACATAGACTAGTGTCTACATTTCTGGACCTTGGACTTTCTCATTCAATCAGCCTTTGGATTTTAGATTTCCTGTCTGGCCTCTCTTCAGGCATTATTCTTAACAATGGTACACCACAGGTTTGCAGGTTGAGTCCCTTATTCTCTACTCTTTATGTGCACGACTGCATTCCCACTCACACTAGTAATACTATTACTAAATTTGCAGATGATACAACATTAATCGCACCAAACTTGATTGCAGGAAATACGACTTCAGCAATATCTGGAATACTCTACTCTGTATATTTCTGTGGTTTCTTCCCCAAACCCCAAAAACTTTAACCTTAGACTGTCTACTATTGACCTCACCCCTTTCCTAAGAGGTGTGTAGGGGGTGTGCATAAGCGCACCAAAGTGCCTACTGTCCCTGTCCTATTGTTTCTTTTATTTTTTTTATTTTTCTTATATGTATCCATGTATTCATAACTATGTTTTTACTTATACCTATTATCTTGTAAGCAATTGACAAAAATAAATAAAAATAAAAAACAGTGGTGGGACTCATCTCCGGAGGGGATGAGTCTGCCTACCAAGATGAGGTGGACCGGTTGCTTTCATGGTGTGGAGACAATAACTTGGTCCTCAATACCAATAAAACCAAGGAGCTTATAGTGGACTATAGAAGGAACAGATCAGACATCCAGCCCCTGCTTATCAATGGAGAAATATCCTAGGAAATATCCTAGGAAATATTAAAAAGGCAGAATATTTCCTCTAAAAAGAGTAGAAACTCAGAAGCAGAAACTCACCTCAGAAGTACCGTAGAAGCTCACCCACACCTTTGTTAATGGGTGGGCCATTAAGGTCTGGGCCAGAATACTTTACATGACAAAGATCTCCAGGTAAAACTATAGCAATTGCCCAAAGCCCTTTCAGTGTATCATCCAGCAAGGCTCAACCAAGCCTGGAACTCAGGACAGCCTACAGAGTTGCCCATGCATGGCCCCATGGGAGTCTGACAACCAATCAGAATACAAGCTCCAATTCAAATCCCAACAAAGGTTATAAAACCCAGGCACTCTCAGCATATCAGTCCTTTCTTGATCTCTTCCTTCACCTTCAAGCATGTGATCATCCTTCCTTTTCACTCTGGAGCTCCAAGCCATGTGGTCCTCCTGTCCACTATTAAACCTTCCAAACAGCCTCCATGTTTCCAGTGTCTTTTTCCCCACTTGGAACTGAACCCAGAAGGATATTTCTTCCACGAAGGGACTCCAAGCTAGCCTAACCAATGGACCAGGCCCAGGTAAGATTCCCTTGCCAGCAAACAGACCCATTGAGTCTGTGGGCGAGTTTTCCTGGACCTTGGCCATTTGGAAAAAGGTTTCAAAGGGTTTTTTAGTGTTGAGCTCAAAGGCTGTTTGGAAGGAAGGTGAGTACCTCTAAATTCTAAATTTAAAGCATGGGAAATATGTGTATGCTTGCATGTGTGTGAGAGGGTCCTTCTCCCAAACACAATTGGATCTTGCTTCCTCTGTGCATTTCCTAACCTCAGAAAGACCAAAAGTCTGGAGAGCATGAGGGTTTTGTCAGAGCATAGGACCTTTTGTTAGGGAAGGAGGAAGAACATGTGTGTGAGAGGCTTCACCCTTGGACAGCAGCTGGATCTCATTTCTTTGTTTGGCCTCTAGCCACCCTCTTGCTTGTTGCTAGCTCTACAGAGCCATGATCATCAGGACAGGAAAAGCAAAGGGGGGGGCCCTCATCAGAGTGTGGGACCTTCTGTATATAAGAGGGAAAGCCGAGTGGGTTATGACTGAAGGGAAGGAAGAAATTTTTTGTTAGTTTTTTTTGTCCAGTGTATCCCAAAAGCAAACCCCAGGATTTTATTGGATATGAAATTAGGAGTGTCAGTACTTGCTTGCATAAGAGCAGCAAGTTTTCCCGGATTTGAGCTCTTCCAAATCCACTAAACGTGGGCCTGAAGTTAAAGAGGAGGAGTACCAGTACTTATCTGTGGGGGGCAGAAAGTCTCACGGACTGTCTTTTTGTGGGGAGAGGAAAGAAGTCTGCACGAGCAGTTTACCCCCAGTCTGAAAACCATGTGAAAAGAGAGAGAGAGAGAGCCTCTTGTTGTTTTTAAAGAGGAGTGTGCATACTTTGTGGAATACTTTGTGAAAGAGAGAGAGAGTTTTTTGTTTTTTTTAAAGGGGAGTGCACATACTTTGTGGAAGATGGTGTTTGATTTCATTGTACGAGGTGCAATGACTATAAAAGTAAACTAAACTAAAGTCTCCCCCAGACACCTTTTTTTTTCTTGCTCTTGAATTTCTTGTGTCTGAAAACTGGGTCACTGACTGACCCAACTAAGCCAAAGTGTGAGAACCCCACATCGGAAGGGGAAAAACATGGGAAGTGGTAGTTCAAGGGTCCTGAGTGGAACCCCCCTGGGAGAGCTGTTGGAGGCTTGAGATGAGCGGCAGGTGTTGTTAGCTCATGCTAGCCAGCATGAGCAGGAAAAAGGCAAAACATACTGTATATGTAGAGAATGGGCTTTGCTGAGGGATACAGGAAGACCAACGTGGCTAAATAAAGGTACTTGAAAAAAAGAAAAGAAAAATGAAAGAAAAGGCCAATATATAAAACAGGATCACATGGGATTTTTTTTTAATTCTTTCTTTCTGTGTCTCTTTCTCTGTCTTTCTCCATGTGGTTTGTTCCTTAAGATTTGTGCCTTCTCCAATTTAACTGAGAGATTTATTGTGTGTGTAAACCTGAGTTTTGTTTTCCTCTCTGTGTCCTTGTTTGTGTGCTTGTGCGAGCGCGTGAGCATGTGTGTCTAAGTCTTTGTGTGTCCTCGAGATAACTGTTGCAACTGTTAAGTGTCTCTGATCCCTTCAGATATTAATTTTAAATTGTTAAGAGTTAGAGATAGTGAGGGGAAAAGAAAATGTCTTCACCCAGTCTCGTCTGGCCAACTAGATTGGATGAGGAACAGAGTTCAATTTTCTCTCCTCTCTGTGCTTTTAAGAAAAACCCAAGGTTATTAACAAATGTTTTAAGTTCATTTACAATAAAAGTTTTATCCTTGCATTTACTGTGTGTTTAAATGATTTTACTTGTTCATCTTTTTCCTGAAGTATGTGAATCCAGTTTTTTCCTTTCTTATCTGTTGTGTCTCTACTTTGTTGAAATTGATTTATCTGTTTAGTACCTGCAATACTGATGTGTTATTTTTCTTCCTCCTAAAGCCATGCCTGCAAGCTATCCCATCTCTAATCTTTTTACAATGCCTTTCCTGGTAGAATTACCAGCAAATGGGGGAGGGGACCTTTTTTCTTTGTCTTTCAGTCCTGCCACAAGTGGAAGCAGATGCTGCCCCCTAGAGACATTCCATCCATTGGAGCCAAACAATTGGGTTTGGATCCAGCATCCATTGAAAGTCACTACAGCAAACCAGAGTGGGTCAGACCTTCCCAAGCCTGACTAACCACCCATACCACCAGGCCAAGCCTATGCCACCCAGAGACATGAAGGAAAGGACCCTGAGATGGACCAGTAAAAGACTAAAAGACTGTTTTCAATCCCCAGAAGACAGTTAGAAAGATTATGGGGGAGGGTGGAAATTTATTGTAATGTGAAATCCATTGTAATGTTTTCTTTCTTGTATCATTTATATTGTAACCAGTTTGTTGTACTCATGTAAGGATTGTATTTGATTGTGGTTGGCCCAGCAAGTCTGAACACCTGGTACTTCTGTCTGGTGGGAGGGAAAATTGCCCAGCATGTTTGTATTATCTGTATTGTAAAACTAGTTGCATATGCAGGGACACACCATTCAGAATTAGATAGAAGTTATCCCTTTCACCTACCTCCACATAAAGCTGCTCCTAGCTTCTTTTTTGCTGCTCCTAGCTTCCTTTTTTGTTTTTGTTTTTTTGTTTTGTTTGCTGCTCTGTGGCATTAAGGCCCAAGCTAAACTCCCTGCTAATTCCATGGGGGAGGGGCATCTCCCTCAGGCAACTCCTGAAGAGATAGCAGAAAAGAGATCTCCAAACCCCAAGTCCTGATTGTGACTCACAAATGATGCTGCCCAGTTGCCCAGTAAAGCAGGATATGTTGCACTGGTGGTCTCATGAGTAGAAGTCCCAGAGTTCATTGTGTATAACTTTAAAAATACTAAATAGCTTGGATTGCACACTGGCTAACCTCAATTTGGCCTCACAAACCCTGGAAGCTAAGAGCTAGGCAGGTAGTAACCATAATCTAAGAAATGGGCAGCCTGTAATTTAAAGGCTATGGAGAATGTAGGGGCTTGTGCTTATAACCTGACTATAAGCTCATATAAAAGTACATCAAACATCAGAAAATTAATTGGCATGAAAAATTGGATACAGCAAAAAAAATAAAAAATAAAAATCCAGAACTTTTCTAGGCTGCTAGGCCTTCATGGTTGAAAGCTTTTGGGAGCCGCTGAAGGAATCCTTTTCTGTTGCCTCTTTTTCAATGCCTTTCTCTTTGCATCAGAAAAATTAAAAGCACCCATCAAGTCTCCCTGATCTGATCACCTTTTAATCTTTTGTCAAAACACTTGCATGTTTTGAAAAAAAAAAGAGGGAATGTAGGAAGTTAGCACACACCCCTCTCCTAGAAAATTGAAATATCCTAGGAAATATTAAAAAGGCAGAATATTTCCTCTAAAAAGAGTAGAAACTCAGAAGTAGAAGCTCACCCCCACCTTTGTTAATGGGTGGGCCATTAAGGCCTGGGCCAGAATACTTTACATGACAAAGATCTCCAGGTAAAACTATAGCAATTGCCCAAAGCCCTTTCAGTGCATCATCCAGCATTCTCAAAGATTTTTCCTGGCGCAAGTCCTCACCTACATGCAAGAATACGGGCAGAATTTCCCAACCCAGGGGTCAACCAAGCCTGGAACTCAGGACAGCCTACAGAGTTGCCCCTGCATGGCCCCATGGGAGTCTGACAACCAATCAGAATACAAGCTCCAATTCAAATCCCAACAAAGGTTATAAAACCCAGGCACTCTCAGCATATCAGTCCTTTCTTGATCTCTTCCTTCACCTTGAAGCATGTGATCATCCCTCCTTTTCACTCTGGAGCTCCAAGCCATGTGGTCCTCCTGTCCACCATTAAACCTTCCAAACAGCCTCCATGTTTCCAGTGTCTTTTTCCTCACTTGGAACTGAACCCAGAAGGATACTTCTTCCAACAGCTGCACCATAGAGAGTACCTTTACTTACTGCATCTCTGTAGAGTTTGCCAATGGCACAATGGCAGATAGGAAAGCACTCCAGAGGGTTAATGTCATTGCCCAAAAGATCATTGGTTGCCCTCTCCCCTCTTTGGAAGAGCTTTATAGCTCCCACTGCCTTAAGAAAGTTCAAAACATTCTCAAAGATTTTTCCTGGCGCAAGTCCTCACCTACATGCAAGAATACGGGCAGAATTTCCCAACCCAGGGGTCCCGGGTACCAGTCATCACCCTGGCCCTTGAAGGGGCAGCAGTCAGATGGATGATGACACTCCACAACGTCAATGCCCCAGAACTGAGGAACCTCGATTGCTTCATAACAGCCCTACGCCACCGTTTCGAAGACCCCCTCGCCGATAGAAAAGCCCGTGACCATATCAGAGTCATAAAGCAAGGCCGTCGCCCAGTAATGGAATACACCAAGGAATTTCGTGACTTGACCAGCCGAGTTGACTGGCCAGAAGATATCCTAGTCTGTTGGTTCAAAGATGACAACCTGTATGCTGCCTAGGCTCCAACCCTCCTGCATGAATGGTACCTGATGGCAGAGGACGCAGAGATTGACATGACTCATAATCGGTACAGCAGTACTAAGCTTTGGAAAAGATCCCCACCCCAGGGGAAACGGGAAATTTTCAAACCCCAAACCACCATGACTCCAAGAATGTCTGGCTGTTTTAAATGTGGAAAGGAGGGACACCGTGCAGCAGAATGCTGTTTGAAAATCCCTGCCAGAAAGCCAGACCATGAACCGGGGGGGAGGGGAACCTGTAACACCCAGCCCTCGAGGAAAGGAGACTGGCCTGAGAAGCCAAGAAGCTGTGGGATTCCGCTCATCCTCCAACCCAGAGGACGAAACCCCAATGTTCTGTGGAGACCTGAGCCAGTCCAAAAGTGATCCAGAAGACGACCTGCTGGTAAACAACCCAATTGAACTAATCACTCTACCTCTAAGACTGTTCATCCCTAGCCGAGGGAAGGGGAGGAAATTGCAGTACTACTGGATTTGGGATGCACCCGTTGCCTGATCAACCCCTCCCTAACAAAGAAATTGGGAATCCCACTAAAAAGATTGATGAACCCCATTGCCTTCTGCCATTTAGATGGAACGATAGCGGGGGGGGGGGGAGCCAGATAGGTTTGTCACAGAACCATTGAAAATAAGCCTAGGAAACCACAGTGAGATGCTCTCATTCATTGTAGCCCCAGGGATGGAAGGGCCGCTAGTCCTAGGTCTCACACAGCTGCGGAAATGGAATCCAAAAATAAATTGGAGGAGAGGAACCATATAATTCCAAAGAGATGTAGTATATGCAAATAGCTCAGAGGAAAGGATAAAGAAAGGAACAGAGAACAGAGAGTCAGCCATGACCGGACAGATGGCTGAACCCATTTACATCCCCAATGAGTACCAGGATCTGGCCCAAGCATTTAGCGAGGAAGCTTGTGATGAACCACAGACTGCACTATCGAAATCCTATCAGGGGCTAAACTCCCCAAACCACAAATGTACTGCATGTCTCCCAGAGAACTAAAAGAACTCAGAACATTTATCAACAAAAATTTAAAAAGGGGTTTCATCGAACCCGCCTGACCAAAAATAGCTGCCCCAGTGTTATTCCGCAAAAAGAAAGATGGCTCCATGTGTTTGTGTGTAAATTACAAAAAATTAAACGCAATTTGCATAGAGAATATGTATCCACTCACCCTCATGAAGGACGTTCTCAAAGGGAAATTTATTTTCAAAGTTAGACCTACAAGAGGTATATTACCACATCAGAATAAAGGAAGGGGATGAGTGGAAGATAGCTTTTAACACACCATTGGGATGCTACCAATTTAAAGTGCTCCCTTTTGGACTGCAAGGAGTGCCTGCTGTGTTTATGCAATGAAACCCTTCATGAATTTTTATATAAAGGGGTTCTAGTGTATCTTGATGATATTTTAATCTACATGGAAACGATGGAAGAACACATCAAGCTACTCCATGCTGTCTTCACAAAACTCTTAGACACTAAACTATATGCAAAACTCTCTAAATGCGAATTCCACCAAGAAAAAAATTGACTACTTGGGGTATAGAATATCCCATGAGGGAATAGAGATGGACCCACAGAAAGTAAAAGCTGTCATCAATTGGGACCCACCTCATCCCCGCAAGCAACTGCAAAGCTTCCTGGGGTTTCTGAACTTTTATCACCAGTTCATTCCAGCTTTTGCAAACATCACCCTCCCTATCACGAACTTGCTAAAAATGAGGGGGGGGGCAAACTAAGGCAACCCCTTATCTGGACAATGGAATGCCAAGTGGCATTCGAAAAACTCAAACATCTATTCTCAGCAGAACCAGTCCTTAAGCACCCAGATCCCGAACAACAAAAACACTTGTTTACTCAAAGATGGACTGGCTTGGGTAGAAAACAAACTTTATGTCCCTGCAAGCCAGATAATGGACCTCATGAAACGCTGCCATGACTTCAAAATAGTGGGACGCTTTGGGTTTGTAAAAACCCTGCACCTCATCAAAAGACAATTTTGGTGGCCGTCCCTCAAAGAGGACATTGAAAACGATGTTGCAAGCTGCCCTACCTGTGCTGCTGCAAAGAGAAGACAAGGAAAATATCCTGGACTTTTACAAACAGTAGCAGACCCTTCTGGTCCCTGGAAAGAGATATCTATGGACTATATAGTGGAGCTTCCCGAAAGTGCTGGGAATACTGTCATTTGGGTTGTAACTGATCTTTTTTCAAAACAGGTTCACTTTATTTTTGGATTGAAGCTTCCTTATTGTAATGGGTAATTTGTTTTTTTCTGGTTTGGGGAGTTGTTATTGGTACATATAGTTTGATGACTCTTTTGACTTCAAGTAAAAATATGTTGTAATGGTCTTTAACATTATTGCATCCAGTGAATAGAAATTGCCAATCAAGAGATGAGAGATTGTTGTCTGTAAGATCATAGTTGCCTTTTTTGAAGTTGTAATTGGGGATTACGTCTTTGTGGTGATTTTTGTGTGGACATATGTTGAGACAAAAATCAATCATGTTGTGGTCACTGTTGGAAAAAGGTTCTTTAATTTGTATTCCGTAAATTGAATTCAAACTATTGCAGAAGATGAGATCGAGACAGTTGTTAAGTCTAGTATTGTTGGTTACCAGTTGTTCCAGTCGCAGATTTGCTACAGCATTGTAGAAGGTTGCATGTATGGGTTCAGTATTACATTCATTCAGTTAATATGAGGTAGATTGAAGTCACCAAGAAAGATAAAACTATGTGGGCAGGATGCTGCCCACGCTAGTAGTGAATTTAGCTTGTTTACATGTTCGATGTCATAATCAGGGGCTCTGTAACATAGTAAGAATCGAAATGTGATATTTAAGGACAATTCACAGACGATGGTCTCAGGAAGAGCAAGTTCTTGGGTAACTTGGATATTTTTTAGATGTAAGGACATCTATTCTGCTTGCCACCAGAAGTTCTGAGTGCTCCAACCCTGGAAGTTTCTAAGAAAAGACTGGACAGCCGTTTCTCTGGAATGGTATAGGGTTCCCCCCAAGGTCCCTTCTAAGTGTTATTCTGTTATTCTGACACCTTTCCCAGGACCTCTACTCACAGTTTGGCACCCTCAGTTTTCCTGCCTGAGCAGGGGTTAAAGATCTCCAAAGTCCCTTTCAACTCTGTTAAACACACATGTATTTCTGTTCTGGACTATAGACATGTAAACCCTGAAAAATACCTGGGCAAAAGAAAGGCAGTAAAATCATCTAGGTGTAGGGACAGTGTAAAATATTAATATATGATAAATAATGGAACAATTAAAAATAATAGCACAGAGTTTTCTCTCTCCCCACTTCCTTCCTATTTCTTTTTTTCTTTCTGCCCTTCCTCTTTCTTCCTCTTTCTTTCTTTTTCTTTCTCTTCCTTCCTCTTTCTTTCTCTTTCTTTTTCTCTCCCTTTCTCTTTCTTTCTTTCTTTCTTTCTTTCTTTCTTTCTTTCTTTCTTTCTTTCTTTCTTTCTTTCTTTCTTTCTTTCTTTCTTTCTTTCTCTCTCTCTCTCTCTTTCTCTCTCCTTCTTTCTCTCTCTTCCTCTCTCTTCCTCTTTCTTGCTCTTTCTTTCTCTCCCTTCCTCTTTCTTTCTTGATCTTTCTTTCTCTCTTTCTTTCTCCCTCTTTCTTTCTCTCCCTTCCTTTTCCTTTCTTGCTCTTTCCTTCTTTCTCTCAGTTGCTCTGTGGCCAGCCACGCAGATGAAGCAATAATCACAGAATCTAAAGAAATAGCAGTGTTTTATTCTGTCACAGATGGTAGCAAGAAGCAGCGAGCATATGTAAATAAAGTTAGCGCTAAGTGTTCACCGATCCCAGCATTCTATTTATCCCACCCAATAATTACCTTTCCATATCCAGCAGCCCCTCCCCACAGCTAGCCAGCATTCCGTTCCTAATTGGTGACAGCTAACTTCGCTGTCCCACATCACAATTCTCCCATCACCAGGCTCTGCTACATTAAGTGAACCCCTAACACCTCTACCAAGTTAACACGCTTCCAGACATCCGTATCGGCTCAGCAATCTCCAGCCAGCTTGGTTCCATTGTGCTGCTTCAATCACCATGGCTAGCTGACGCCCTGCTGATATGTATTGTTAGCGCCCGCTGCTGTTGTGGGGCAAGAAATGGATTTGAAGCTCCATTGCTGAAATGATGTCATAGCTGGCTCGGAGAGTTCGTGGCAGGCTTTACTTGTGGCTAGCCTTCATCAGTGGTACATCTGATGGTGTCGAGTTGTGGCTTGAGCTGAGCATGACACTTTCTCTCTCTCTCTCTCTCTCTCTCTCTCTCTCACACACACACACACACACACACACACACACACACATCTGGTCTGGGATGAACTGAATGATCAGTTAGCAGCGGGCGACAGGAAAAGGAAGAAAGGGAGGGTGGGGGAATGGCATGCGGCTGCAGTCCTCCCAAAAGCAAAGCACCTCCGTGTGCAATGGTGATGGCGATAGTGGCGGGGCATTAAGCACCACCTCACCCCAGTCCTCCCAAAGGCAAAGCACCTCAGCATGCAGTGGCGACGGCAGCAGCAGGGCCTTGAGCAAGCCCCCCCCCCCCGGCCGCAGCCCTCCCAAAACATCTTCGCAGGTGGCAGAGGCAGTGGGCCAGTAAGCTGCCCTGGCCTGTGAGGGAAACAAGTAAGCACAGGGAAGGGCTCTGGTTAGTGCCACAATCTCCCACTTGCTTCCCAAGCTGCCCTGACTTGTGAGGGAAGCAAATGGGAGATTGTGGCACTGGAGCCCTTCCCCATGCTTGCTTCCCAAGCCAAAGTACCTCCACATGTGGTGGCAGCGGGGGGCAGCGGGGCCTTGAGCACCCTCCTGGCCCTCCCAAAGTATCTCCATGTGCAGCAGCAGCAGGAGGCAGCCGGGGCCGCTGCATGTGGAGGTATTTTGGGAGGGCCAGGTCTTGCTGCCCCTGACACCATCACCACCACATGGTAGGGAGAGCTGGGAGAGCGCCACATGGTGGCTTAGCCGGCTAGCCAAGCCCAAGAATGGGGGGAGCAAGTAGGTAGGCTGGGCAAGGGCTGGGGAGCCCGAGAGATGGCTGTGGGAGGCTTGGGGAACCCTGGAGATGGCCGCGGGAGGCCTGGAGAGAGTTGGAGAGGGGCTAGCACAACTTGCAGGCTTACCTGTGCAGACAGGAGCCTTTTCCCAAAGGGAGGGGTAAGGGACTTGCAAACTTTTTGGTCTGCTGCAGTGAAAGGCCAGTAGCAATGGCTGGCCTGGCAGGCAGGCAAAAGCACGCTGCAGGCAAGTCGCACACACAATGTTGCACCTGCGTGATAGGGACTGACTGGGCAGGGAGAGGAGCAGTGGGCGGAGAGGGTCGGGGCCAGACAGAGGCCTGATTTACTGGTTGTCCGAACTACCGGGAACCATAACAACTGGTTCTATGGAACCAGGCCGAACCGGTAGAATCCCACCCTTGCCTGTAGAACTGTTCAGGTTTACTCTCTCTGCACTTGCTACAACTGAAGGTAGGTTATACCTCTTTTTCTTTCTCACACCCATTTCCTTAGTCACCAAAAATACTTTATTCCAAGTGTGCTGACTTTCTGGTTTGAAGACTGGAGTGTATCTTGCACAAAGCAGGAAGGAGAAAATGATCCAGGAGGACATTTATTCACCTTGCTTTTGCTCTCTTAATTTATATAGCAATGATTAATTATCACATCCATCTACATCCACACTCCAAAACAGAGAGAAAATGTGAAGATGTGGAGTTAGCAAGTGGTGTATGTGTGTTTCTATGTGGACCTAGTTTATGGAAAGAAGCACATTGCCCAGAACGTGCTTTGTTCTGGTTGTAAATGCACTGGCTCAGTTCTGTGACAAATTGTTGCATGATTATCCTCTAGAATCCATTAAGACAACATCATGAACAGTCAAGCCTTTGTACAATATTTAACTTTAGTAAGGAGAGTAATCACTGTGGGTGGGAAATAAGGGAGTTTCTCCTATAAGGAAAGCTTTTGGAAAACAAAACAAAACAAAATACTTCTAATTATTACGTTTTTCAATAAAATGTAGAACACTTTATACTCTTTTAAATACAAAACAAATGCTACATAATAGACAATATTATTGAACTACAGTAATTAAAAAATAATTCAATCATTCCCTTTGATCACTATCCCAAGAAATTATCCATTTCAGTGCCTTATTTGATTTTAAAATGTGATTTATTTATTTAGCTTACATTTACATACCTCAGACTGCTTTTTAAACTATATGCAGATTATCTTCCCTTAATTCTTAGGGCATACCACAACTAAAGATACTTTAAATGTATTAGTCTTTATGGTCACTATTATTCATTTTGGAACCTGAATATAAAGTCAACGGTGTATTCCAAGTTTAAAGCTAACATTCTAGATCTAACCTGCATTTATCATTGATTATGAAGTACCATACCTGTCAGATTGGTGTATCTGCCATTCTTCAATGGAAGAAGAAGTGGGGGGGAGTTGGTATAAGTAATCCTTTTTGATGTAACCTGAATATATTAAATCTTATATTGAATCTGTATAACTTACACATGATATACAACTGGAGAACTGGAGCCAGATGGCTAGAAATTTGTCACCTCTTGAAGACATAGCAAGAGGAGAAGTGACCATAAAAATTCCAGCTCTGGAAGATAATCCCTGGGAAACTCTTCTAAAATACATTCCCAGAAAAGGGGAGGGGGGAATTAACATGTTGGTCCTTTGTTTGACTAAATCCACATCTAAATAAGGGGAGGGGTTCTAACTCCCTTTATCTAGTACTGTATGCCTGGAAGCATCTTAGATTCTGCTTTGACTAGTGTTGGAATCATTTCCTTTCAATAAAGAATTCCTTTTGAAGTGCCTAGATTTCAGAAGTTCATTCTTTTTTTGGTTGAAGGGGAAAAAGTCCATTGCTTATATAAAACAGAATCTGCAATAAAGATCAATCCGGAGAGGGATGTTTTTTTTTAAAAAAACTTCACTCTACCAAGGGGACCCTGCAAAAAATGTCTGAATATAGCAAGGAGCAAGGGGAAGCTGAATGCTGGGGAGAAACTTTGACAGCTACCCAGCCAGACACGGACTTTGTGTACCCCATCAAAGACAGTGAAGCTGCCTGCAAAAATTCCACAAAGCCCTGGTGTAGGAAAGAGAGACAACTGGGATAGAAGAACCAAGGGAGTAACCCTCACCCAAAGTAACCGTAAACTTGGGTAGAAAATGGAGCTGGAGGCCCCCTCTGATCAAGAAGAATGGGTCGAGGAACCACTGGCAGATGACCCACTGAAATGACACATAAATCACCTCATGAGGGAAGCCTTAGAGCAGGGGTCCTCAACCACCGGTCCGCGGACCGGTCCCGGTCCGTGGAGCACTCTGTACCGGGCCGCAAAGAATTTTTTTTTAAAAAAATGGCGGCTTTCTTCGCCTTCGGTGAATGCTGCTGGGATCAGGGATCAAGGACACAAATGAGAGAAGGGGAGGGAGGAAGCAACCAAAGCCTGTCCTGCTCTCCGACTTCGGTTTCCTCCCGCCTCGTTCCTCTCTCAGTCTCTCTCTCGCTGCTCCACCAGCCCAGGAAGAAACTGCTTCAAAGAAGCGGGGGGGTGGCTTTTCCTGTCGCCGCAGCTCCTCCGAAGCGCCCGTTCACCCCCACCCCCACCCCGCCCGCCCGCGCGCGGTTCAACCCAGTGCTCCGTTCTGCCTGCCTGCCTGCCTGCCTTAGTTTCTGGTTGATTCGGAGCAGCTTTGGCTGAGTAAAAGAGGCGAATAGTTATTATTCTCAGCCGAAGCTGCTCCCAAACAACCAGAAACGAAGGCAGGCAGGCAGGCAGAACGGAGCACTGGATTGAACCGCGGGCGGGCGGGGTGGGGGTGAACGGGCGCTTTGGAGGAGCTGTGGCGACAGGAAAAGCCACCCCCCCCCGGCTTCTTTGAAGCAGTTTCTTCCTGGGCTGGATGTTAGAGGTCCATCGTAGCTCTGAATGATCCCTAAACAAGGACTACAGGAGCTTCCTAGGGAAAACACACTGACTAAATGCTCCTCATTCAATTCCTGTTTTCACCAAACAGAGATAAGAGAAACATCTGCATGAAATTTTGTAGCTAGGCAAGGGCAAGACCTAGAACTAGAGAGCTGGGCAAGACCTAGAACTAGAGAGGCTGCAGTCAGGTGTCTTTAATGCTAGTTGTACGGTAAACATAAAGTTTTGGGAATGGAAAATAGAATCCCCCCCCGTCCTTGAAAAAGTGTTTCTGCTTGAAACTGGTCCCTGGTACAAAAAAGGTTGGGGACCACTGCCTTAGAGGACCTCAATGTGAAGGATGAACCAGGTTGCCAACGTAGGAAAGCGAGTGACCCAGAAATTGAGACAACCTGATCTGTCACCACTGTCCAGTGGAGAATCATTGGGCATTGGAATAAGCTGGAAGACCAGCAACCATACCAAGTACCTCACCCCTTGCCGCCCCACAGCAGGGGATTAACCTTGGCAAACCCAGAGACATACAACTGCAGAGAAAGGTTGGGGGGTAAAATTCGATGGGGACTCCCAGAAACTGGGATTTTTCCTGGCTCAAGTCCTCAACTACATGCAAGAACACGAGCAGAATTTCCCGACCCAGGGGGCCCCGAGTGCGAGTCATCACCCTGGCCACAGAAGGGGCAGCAGCCAGATGGATGGTGACTCTCCAAAATGTCAACACCCCAGAACTGAGGAACCTCGATCGATTCATGACAGCCCTACACCACTGCTTCAAAGTCCCCCTTACTGACATAAAAGCTTGCAACTGCATTAGAGTCGTAAAGAAAGGCTATTACCCAATAGCTGAATACACCGAGGAATTTTGTGACCTGGCCGGCCGAGTCGACTGGCCAGAAGATATCCTAGTCTGTTGGTTCAAAGATGGACTCAACGGCGACCTGTACACTGCCTGCCTGGCCTGTGGGGCCCCAAACCTCTTGTATGAATGGTACTTGATGGCAGAGGAGATGAGATAGACATGATCCAGAGGAGGTGGAGATAGACAACCCAGAGGAAGAATCCCCAATGCCCCGAGGAGACCTGACCCAGT